TTGTAGAAGAGGAGTTCCTAAAATCTATTTGACTGAAGACATCTGGGGACTTTAATGACCCTGCTCTGCACCTGGCTCTTCAACAGCCATGCTTTGCTCATGGAGATTAAAAGCCTCTTTCAGGCGTGCCAGAGAAGAGGCAGTGTTACACAGCAGCAAACTGTAACATGCTGGATTTTACACTTGTAAGACAGGGCACTGATCCCAAGTATGATGCCTCTTCCAGCTATTAATCCATCCCCTCAGGACTTGTCCTCAGTGGGTTCGTATGTTCACCACTGAGTAGACATATTCGGCTTCTAGCTGGTGAACTGTGGTCAGTTTATAGCGACTAATTCGAAACAAATGAGATTAAAGAGGCTTTTGATAAAGCCAGGCAAACTAGATTTATGATAGGGCAGGTTAACCACAACAGCCTTAGACTAATATATTAGTTTTAGCCCGAAATTTTGATTTATTAAGCTGCCTTTCAGTATAAACAAACTGAAAGAACCCTGCTGTTTTGTGAAATTAGATATGTCATAATTTATGGAAATAAACAAGACTTTGAAACTAGACTTTTCTGCTCTATTAACGAGGACAAATGCTTCCATTATTTGACAGTCAGTCTATTTATTTTCCCTTCATGTTGCTTAAGCATGAAAAAAGAAAAGTTGTAGATCCTAAAACACAAAAATTGTCTATATAGAATTTAACTAAATTAATCTCCTATGGCCCATACAGCATCCTTTTTCAACCTCAAGGTCTTGTATTGCCCAATAACATTTTCATGTGAATTATGCATAAATACTAAAAATACAAATACTGGACTGTTTAACTTCAAAGCCTGCAACTGATCGTTTTATACTACTATCACAAAATCGACAAACTCTAGAAAATATCTCTTATTTTTTTGCAATCAATTTTTGCATGATTCCACAATGTCCTCACATATATATATATATAGAGAGAGAGAGAGAGAGAGATTTACAGTAAATTACTTTAGAGACACAATATTTGTCATTGTATAGTGTATTTTTTTCTCCATCAGTGAAGCCACAGCAATTAGTTTCACATCTCCAAGCAACACGGTAGCCTTCCTGAATGAATCAGTGTTACGAACTGATTCAGTGAATAATTCAATGACTCACTTGTTTCATTCCAGTATGAATCAGTGATTTTAAACAAATTGTTTGAAGGAATGATACAATGAGTCACTCATTATACAGTCACTTGTCACCACCAACTGGTTTATCGACTCAAGTAGAAAGTATTTTGTTAATTATAATTTATAATACAACAATAATGCAAAACACAGTTTCAACCTAACTCAATGTTATCAGATTTGACATGTTAATTATTTTCAATAAAAATAATGTGAAACACAATTTCATAGCAGTAATAAAACATTTGTGGTATGTAGGTTTACTCAGCATTAGCAGATCTGAAAATAAGTAAAATATTATTTTCAACAAGAATAATGCAAAATACAGTTCCATACCAACAATAAATAGTTATGGATGAAAAATTAACTCACCATTTTATTGAAAAGGTTTGGTAAAATGTTAATTTTTGGACCCTGCTTAATCTGCATATTTTAGCTTTTTTAAATAAACACAAAGCCTGACATCAGAGCTTCTTATATGACTCTTAAAAGACCCTCATGAGGAACAATTTGTATTCCAACTACCACTTCCACTAATTTAAAATATCATTCCTTCTGAAAAGCCATCCATCTGTCAGTGTTTTTGCGTGTTTTGTACTACAAGCTGTTTAACACTTCAGATGTAGTCAAGTACAAGTAAAGAGACCAAAGTAGATGTGAGTATTTGTGCATGACTAATGCAACGTTGATCATCAGGAGCTGTTAAGGAGAAGAACAGAAGATAATTCTAGGAAAAACTATAGGTGATCCACTGAGCATTCATGCAAAGCTTTGTTACTGTGAGAGGATCACTCCAACTCCCGATCAATTCTCCTCAGGGTGGGAGAAAAGGTGATGCATATCTAAGTAGCAACAGTATAGTCTACAGCCGAAGCACAGATATTCAACATATTCCCTTCAGAAGAGATATTCACATCCCTTTATGTCCTATTCATGTGTCCACCAATAAACAGAAACCATCTAATTGGATCCATTTTATCGAGGCAGCTCAATTTCCCACGAGACGTAATTCCAACCTGAGGGCAATGTGCCATTTGTCAATTGACAGGAAACACTACAGAACATGTTACACGGCAAGCCTCACACACGCAAACAGCTGCTAGAAATCATCCTGTAAGAGGTGCATATTCATACAAACAACCCTAAACATGCTTTTTGTAGAAGAGGAGTTCCTAAAATCTATTTGACTGAAGACATCTGGGGACTTTAATGACCCTGCTCTGCACCTGGCTCTTCAACAGCCATGCTTTGCTCATGGAGATTAAAAGCCTCTTTCAGGCGTGCCAGAGAAGAGGCAGTGTTACACAGCAGCAAACTGTAACATGCTGGATTTTACACTTGTAAGACAGGGCACTGATCCCAAGTATGATGCCTCTTCCAGCTATTAATCCATCCCCTCAGGACTTGTCCTCAGTGGGTTCGTATGTTCACCACTGAGTAGACATATTCGGCTTCTAGCTGGTGAACTGTGGTCAGTTTATAGCGACTAATTCGAAACAAATGAGATTAAAGAGGCTTTTGATAAAGCCAGGCAAACTAGATTTATGATAGGGCAGGTTAACCACAACAGCCTTAGACTAATATATTAGTTTTAGCCCGAAATTTTGATTTATTAAGCTGCCTTTCAGTATAAACAAACTGAAAGAACCCTGCTGTTTTGTGAAATTAGATATGTCATAACTTATGGAAATAAACAAGACTTTGAAACTAGACTTTTCTGCTCTATTAACGAGGACAAATGCTTCCATTATTTGACAGTCAGTCTATTTATTTTCCCTTCATGTTGCTTAAGCATGAAAAAAGAAAAGTTGTAGATCCTAAAACACAAAAATTGTCTATATAGAATTTAACTAAATTAATCTCCTATGGCCCATACAGCATCCTTTTTCAACCTCAAGGTCTTGTATTGCCCAATAACATTTTCATGTGAATTATGCATAAATACTAAAAATACAAATACTGGACTGTTTAACTTCAAAGCCTGTAACTGATCGTTTTATACTACTATCACAAAATCGACAAACTCTAGAAAATATCTCTTATTTTTTTGCAATCAATTTTTGCATGATTCCACAATGTCCTCACATTCCAGTTAAGCCCTGCTGGTTTTCCTTATATTAGAAAATGTGCCTTTGCAGCAAGAAATGAGTATGAAGCACGTTTATATAAAAATCTACCACCCGGACTCCTGCAGAGCGACCGGCTTCCAGAACAGTGAATTTTTAATTCAGCGCCAGTAGAATAATGTTCATAATTAAGTTTTGTCCTAAGGCTTGCTGAACCAGCCTAAAATGGTCACACATTTGCTGGTTTAAAAATTAGTTGTTGGGTACGTCAACCAGTTAAACACCATCTTGCCGATGCTAGGAGATCAGCAAGACTATGTTAAACCACCTAAGACCAGCAAACCATCTTAGGCTGGTTTAAGATTTTTTTTCTCTTATTTATGAATTAAAGTATCATATATGTTCATACCAAGAGTTTATGTGTTTATTGAAGTACACTAAACAACTGCAAGTCAGAATGACTCACTGAATAGCGCGCGTTCTCTATCTAGAAGTAAGGCAGTGGTGATTCGAGGTCTAGATCGCATTAATTATCCTCGGGATCTCGTCACACTGCCCCCACGCGATGGGTTATCAGCCAACAAGACTGCATCTCGCACACTTTACGGACACCAGTACTGCTGTTTATCCGTATCTCCCCAATCCAACTAGGAAACACATCAAGCCCTTTTCAGTATTCATTCCGCGTAACGATATAGGCTACTTGATACGCTAAGCATCTAATCAAGATTACAGAAAAATAATCAAATTGTTAATATCTTATCTGTTTATATTTATTAAATAATATAACATAATGAGTGATTTGATTTGAGCTGGCGGTACTATTCTTATAATCCGTTTAGCATCAGATGAATCAGCTCTGATGCAAATTAAAATGCTAGGCAGGTGGTAATGACCAAGATACATCAGGCAGAAGTGTTGCCCAGGGGTTTGCCTCCACCCCACTAAATTCAATCAAACTACAAAGGTTTTTTTTTTAAACAGAAAACTAACAATTTCACGTTTCTAAAACTTCTCTTCTAAAAGCCTTATTCCATATCCCGCTAAGAATCACACAAATAAAAGCTCACACCAAGCCTCATCCAAATAAATCCACTGAAAACGCCGAGGATGTTTCAAACCTATAGCCTATGTGATCATGTATATGGAGACGGCGTGCAACAGTTAAAACCTCCAAATCAAGGCTGATCAATTAGGCGTCCAGACGCGTCAATTCCATCGCGAGATGCTGGGTGAGAAGGTACACTGACAAGTGTTAGGTCGAAATCTTACGCGCCACACGTTATCCAGCATGTTCTTGACTACTTATAGACTAACACACGTGTTAATGGTGCATTTTGTTGGCTGTATAACCACTATACCATAAGGAATCTTGATTCGCTTTCTATCTCCAACCCATATGTGCTACCCGAAAATAGGCACTCGTAACACGCGTTCATTTGAGATTCCCCACATCTCCAGTAATTAGCAGTTTCCTAATAGTGATTATTTGAAACCACCCTGCGTGCTGTTGATATGTAAAACAGCTCGTATAAAATCTCCCTACGCCCTTATATTACTTTGTGATCCATCACTTAATGACCACAAGCAACTCACGTATCCGCTCGAGCATACTGCAAGAGTATTTATTGAGTCCTCGCTCAATGCCTGCATTGAGTAAATGCGCTTCTATTCTCAAGCATTTGCTGCACGGTTGGTTCTCCTCTCCCTACATCCACTCCAAGCTCGTTCCCATCCATATACACAATGATGCAAAACCTCCGAATAACTCTTTGAGACTGATGACTTACCTCGCACGCATGTGACCATCATAAAAAATATCAGATTCCAAAACGTAACTCCAGTTTTAATCCCCATTTTCTTTGCTCGGGAGTCCACCGGACCACATCTAATACATCCTCTCTTGAAAACGGTCAGGAATCCCGTTGATCTGACGCTGTGCCCCTCTGTGTCATCAATGTTCATATTCACATGAAGGTAGTTGTTCTTTCCCTCAGCCAGAAGCGGAGCGGTTCGCGGTGTGGCTCGAAGTGAACGGAGATGCTGGGATCCCACAGCAACCTTGACGAGGACTCAACCATCTCGCCAAAAGGGGCCAAACTCTCTGCGCTGTGATCTCGCTCACCGACTTCTATTCACTGCTATTCAGTGGATTAACTGAATTAATTGCTCATAATTGCTCAAATAAAACAATTAGTGCATTTATCAGTAAATGAATGAAGTTTTTCCCCCAGCAAGTATAAAAGAATAAAAACATATATAGTCATTTTGAAATAGAGCATACATATGCAAATGCTTATTAATGGCCATTTGGGTTTTTAATGCAACATTTGTTGAATATATGAATTTATTTTCATAAAGGCACATCAAAACAATCCATTGGCCACGCACATATATACACACGTAACAGTAGACTTAATATGATGGAAACAAACTGCATTGTAAAAACTATTCCATGTTTAATTCAGTCCAACATGCTGTAGAGGTATTAACAATTTAATGTTATTGAGTTTTGGAGTCTTCGTGTAAATAACGGTTTACTTGAGAATCTTGAGGCCAATGTAATCTTACTTACTTTACTAGTCTAGCATTGATATCATAATTGTTTCCTACGAAAGGCATCGTTGAAAGAAGTTTTTGCAGTGAATGTGAGATCGAAGACTGGGTGATTGCACTGTAGAAGGACACTCCTGCCATCTACAGGCTAAACACCCAGTCAAATTTCATCTTCAGAAGTATGCAGACACCCGCATTCCCTCTCTGTCCACCAACCCCCTCACATTCCCACGTGCCTGAAACACAACACACACACACACACACACACACTTTGGACAACTAGACTGATATGATAGAAAACAAAGATGTTTCAAGTGATTTCATTTACCTCAAACAGCCATATACCATCATCCAAACCAACCCTTCAGTCATAACTAGTACTTATTGTTCACCACTTTTTAGTTATTAACAAGTTATTCTCAATAATTTGGAACCCAAGACCAACATTTAACACAATTTCTGAAAATTAAGAATGATGATTGAAATTACCACCTTTTTGTAAAATATAATCATAAAACTGTCCAAGGTGCTGAAGTCTCTGATGCAGCACATTTGAATAGACAGATAAACAGATAGACAAATAGATTAGACAGACAGATAGATAGATAGATAGATAGATAGATAGATAGATATTTCATGATTTAATAAATGCTGATGCTGTATAAATTATTATTATTTTTATATTTCTAAGGTGTTTTAAGTTATCTTATATGGTCTTTTTAAGTAAAGAAGAGAGCCTGAGCATTATGAATAACCAAAATGTTGAGCTAGGGAAATATTCAACAAAGTCATTCATCCAATTTTCTAGCCACTACTTGCTCCCAAGCACTAATTAGATAGTGGAATTCCGTCCTCATTAGTCCTGCAGATCCACACCCCTCTGAACAAAGGAAAGGGCAATAAATCATATAGTCATAGGCATAAGCATATAACCTTTACTCATCTCAGTCTCTCAATGACAGGATCAGGAGAGAGAGAGAGATGGTGGAAAATCCACGAGAGAATGAATCATGACTGCACCTCATCAAATCCACATTTCTCCTCTGCCTTGAGTACAAGAGACTAACCTTCTTCTCCCTCCTTCCTCCAACACACCAAATTAAAATCCAGTTAAGGTCCCTTAAATACCAGATTGGCTCAATGCGACATTTGGGGAATGATATCTCTCTACTCTGCTGCCATTCACTTAGAACTCGTAAACAGTTTAAATGTGTGTTGTTTGCCAGTCTTCATATAGTTCATACTGTAAATGAGAGTGGTATATATTAGCTTTGGCAAAATTAGAAGCACTTTATGATTAGTTACATGTCATTTAGCCGAAAAATTTAATCCAAAGTCACTTAGCATATACTAATGGCTCTCCCTGGAGCACTAGATCAAGGGCACAATTGAGACTCGTTGCAACTCTCCAGTTCACAGGTTTGCTTGGATCGAACTTACAAAATTTGCTTGGCAAACCTTAATCGTTAGGTTATAGGATATAACTGAATCTTTAAACTTAAAGCGGCCTTTTAAAAATAAAAAATCCTTGTTGAAATAAAATAGCTTGATGTACTATATAAACATATGTAAGTTTCAAAACTGCAAAACTTCCTCTCCAGTCCAAAAAGACCATCTGTTGAAATGAAGCTGGAAGACTCAATCCAAAATAACTGGAATTCTGTTTTCAGACAGATGAATACATAACATATGACAATGACACCTATTTAGTATCCAGTAACTTGGGACAGTCTGGTGCAAAGAAGTAAAATGTTTTATTATTACAAAACACCAATATGTTATTATTCCAGTTAACTAGAAGTTGGCCAAACATTGTGTTGTTTCTGGCTCAGAGTGAATGTTTATTTTTAACAAGTGCTCTGATCATTTCAGTCCAGCCTTTAACAGTTTGTGTAGCACATTTCAGCGCATATTGTTTTGCGAACCTGCAAAGAGGCTGTTACTGAAGAATGGGGCCGCACCAACTATACTGAACCTGACAGAAAACCTACAGCCCATAAGCACTGTTTCTATTTTACATGCAAAGAGGATATCCAATCATAGTAGAGGGTGTTTACACAGAAGCCTTAAAGGTCAAGTACCAAAAACTGCCTCTTTAAAGCAAAGGGTGGAATATGATGCCTTGTGCAAGAAACCTTGACTACAAAAAAAAAAAAAAAGAGAGCATTTTTATTAATTTAATATCAAAAGTTCACAAGACATAAGTTAAGCCATAACTCAACAAAATGCATACTTAAGTTTTTCCTTTTGCATGGTTATCAAAAGACACAGATACAAAATAAAAGTAGAAGATCAGTCAATGCCAGTCTTCAAAGAATCACCCTTACATTTTCTGTGCATTGCTTGCTCTCAAAGCATCACACCAAAACAAGTTCCAAGGGCATTCAGCAATGAGATACAGAAACATCTGCTTTAAAAGGCTCATAGTCATTTGAGAAGATGCAATGCATCAATCCAGCCCTGAGGCTCAAGATGGGTTATTCTTATGACTAGAAAAGTGACCTCATTTGCACACTTCATTAAGTCATTTGAGGTGTTAGAGAGTTTCTCAGTTTGTTATTTATTGTATGTCGTCACTCCCTGTGGCCCCCCACCCAGCTGTTTGGATTTACTGCTGGGCGAGAGCAATGAGCACGCCCGTCTGAAGCACTGTTGAGCTTTAGGCCCTTCAGGCTCTTATCCATCATATCTGGGGGACACATGCATGATGGAGGGCATCAGCTCTGTCAACCTGCCATTCAGATTCATTAGCAATAGACGGAGGCTGAACATGGCAGCCTTGTTCAATGAAAAACAAAATAGCCTGAATTCAAAGTTAATATTCACAGTCATCTTTGCAGTTAGCCCAATATTTATATAAAATGACAAATGTGACTTCAGTGTGAATGGGACCTAGGTTGCAGCCCCTGAATTGCATTGTGGGGTTATTTTTTTATGTCATTTAGACGTAACTTAAAAATGTATAAATGGATTAATTCCTATAAATGATTTTACTCAGTTTTTATGTAGTTTTCTTCTTTTTTTAACCATAGTTGTTTTACTATTTTATTAATTTTTTTAGAAGTAGATTTAATTTAAATGTACATACTATTTAAAATGATAGAATAAATCTATAAATGCAAATCTGGTAAAATGTAGAAATAATTCTAATAAATCAATGCAGTTTAGTCGTTTCAATTATTATTTTTTAAATTGACACAACTTACAGTTTCTGAATTTGTTCATTCAATTTAACATTTTACGTTTTCACATTTTAACTAGTTTGTAAGTTGATTGAACTACGATATTTGCCCCCTCAACTTAAAAAATGTATTGAATCAATTCAATAATGATATCACGTTCTAACCATCACTTATCGCGGGATCTTGCGAAGACCGTTGCAGACAGAAGACAGTCAGTCATCTTGGTGCGCTTCTCTGCAAAATTTGGAAATTTTCTCAATCTATAAATTTGGTAAGTAAATATTTGTTTTATTGGCTGAATATGTGTAAAATTATGTATGTTATATAAGAAGAGTACAAGTATGGTTTAAAGCGTCGTATGTTCTAGCTGGCTACGCCAGTGTAAGTTTCGCGGCACTCTGCAGCCTCCACAGTATTTTCCACATAAATATTATAATAAATATTCTCCCATTTTTAATAGAGTTTAAGTTCACAGTAGGGCCCAGAGGCATCACTAGACACATTTTAAGGGTTAGTTCAATCATTGTTTTAAGATTTGTTGTTGACAATCATTTAAGTGGACAAAGGCAAAACTGTTTGATTTTCATTTTTGCTTTGTGTTTTAATGTTTTCATTCAAGCAGTTATTTTCATTAATATACATTTCAGACAGTGCAGTGTTAATATGTGAATGTTTTAATAAACATGAATGTTTAAACTATGGTTTATTTGTGCTCTCTGTTATGGCAGGATAATTAGTTAAAAAGCTTTTGTCATGCTAACTTGAGTTGAAGTTTATTTAACTCATATTTTTAAGGAAACCGTGTAAACTTTTTAGGTAATTGTTATAACAAACTATTTGTAGTTGAGTGAACTTAAAGTTTATTTAATTCTCTTGATTGCTTGAATAAGTTAATACAATTTTTAATCCAAAGTTATGACAAAAAAAAACAACATTGAGGCAAGGCAAGGCAAGGCAATTTTTATTTATAGAGCACAAGTTTAACACAACCGTATAGTTGATCCAAAATGCTTTACAATAAAAATAAATTAAAAAAATTTAAAAGAGAAAAAGAGGGGAGAAGGAAGAGAAAAAAGATCAATCAAACAACATGTATATACACATAGAACACCAACTATTCAGAGTATATGCACGGCATCACTCGAATAATAAAAATAAGTCTTTAAGCTGGATTTAAAATCATCCAGTGATGGAGAGACCCTGATGTTCAAAGGCAGACTGTTCCAGAGCTTTGGGGCAACTACAGAGAAAGCTCGATCACTCGATTTATTAAGATAAAAAATAATC